ACCCAAACACAGTTTGTGGCTAACAAAGCGTTTCCCTCTGGCTGCTGGGAGCTGGGCAAGAGGCCCTCCCTTTTCCCTAAAGGAGGCCTTGAGGCAAGAGGGGCAGCCAGGCCTGAGGCCACCAGTGGGTAGACATCCCAAGGAAATGCCTCTCCTCCCTCTGCCCAGTGGGGCCCAGGGCACAAGGGGGGCACCGGCTGCCCTCCCCGTCCCCAGCCACTCACCATACTGAATGGCGCAGTTGGCCAGGAGGTCCTTGATGGTGTCCGCATAGACCAGCCGCATGCGTCGGCGCTCGGCGGCCCACACTGTGCTCAGTCTTCTCCTCCTCCGTCCGTGGCGAGATCTGCTTCAGCCTTCACCTGTGGGCAGGGGTGGGGTTCCCTGAAATAGTGCCAGGGCCTGTCCCCCCAGCTGCCGTCGCACGCCCGGGGCTGCTGGATGGTTATAAGTCTTTGTCCCTCTTTGCCCACATTTTCCTGTCTCCATGTTGACTGATCCATCATCTTCATCCTCCAATAACCCTAGGCTCCCTTCTGGGGCAAAGGCACAGCGGATGGGGGTAGCGGTCACTGCAGGGTGTGAAAGAGGATGGTGAGACCTGAAGACTCCCCATGTGAGATGCACAGGGAGAGGTGGGGAAAGGAGAGAGGGAGGGCGCCTGGGGCCCGGTGGCAGTGGGGGATGGGCCTTCCTCTAGGGGCTATGATTCCCTGCCACACCCCACCTCCACTCCCCCGCCAAACCCCAGCCTCACCACCCTGGTCCAGGCCCATCGTGACTGGCGGCCAGGTGGCCCAGCAGCACTGAGCAGCCAGGTGTGGCCACCTACCTTGGAGAGCTCACGGTGGGCCACAAAGGTGGCCAAGGCCTTGCACACGCTCCACTGCTTCTCAGAGCAAGTGTCCTCGGAGGCCACCTGGATGCCCACCTGGAGGGGAAGAGTAGGAGGAGGAGTGAGGAAGGAAGAAATAGGGCTCACAAACCCGAGGCCCACAGCCTAGTGACATAGGAAGTCCCCCTCTGCTATTCCAGTATCACCCACCACGTCTAGGAGGCTAGAGACCTGGGGTAGGTTCTGATTCTGCCCCTGGTTCCTGGGAAACTTTAGGCAAGTCACTTCCCTTCTCTGGGCCTCAGTTTCCTCATCTGTAAAGTGGGGATGACCAAACCCATCCTCAAAGGGCTATTGAGAGGATTAACATGAGACTGTGTAAGTAAAGTGCTGGCTAAATTGAAAGGGTAGACATGTGAGGGTGCCCAGGGACCCTGTGCATTTATGGGGGGCCACTATCTCAGCCTCAGTAGTCCCTCAGCAACCACTGGGTGGAAGTTGTCTCCATCCGACGTCCATTGGTGGCAAATAGAGTCCCTCCCCCAGAGCTCACGGAGCCCTGTGCATCACCACGAGTCCTTCAACAACCCTGAGGCACAGAAATCATGCTCCCACTTTACAGATGGGAAGACAGAGTCTATGGCAGGTAAGCTACAGGACTGAAGCCCAGTGCTATCCCCACTCCAGCCCCACTGCCTCCAGGTGGCTGTCATCCTCAAATTTGCACAGCCACCAGGCTGCTGAAGACAGGGTCTGAGTCTCGGCGTGAAGACCCAGGAGGCCAGAAGTTAAGTCCCACATTGGGATCTATGTGGCTTGGTGACCTGGGGCAAATCCCTCCCCCTCCCTGGGCCTCAGTTTTCCCTTCTGTGTTATGGGGTGTTGGACCAGAAGATCCTTAGACTCTGCCCAGCCCTGCCAGCTGGTCCAGATCTCTGCCGCCTCAAGCAGGGCTTTGCGAGTGTGAGTATGCCTGGCTGGGGGCGGAGATGGAGAGGAGGCAGAAAACCCACCCAGCACCCACGCATCCCCAGGCAGCACCTGCCCCACACACCTCCATGCTGGTGTTGAAGGCCCGGTTCACCTTGGCCTTGATATTCACCACGTGTCCGACTCTGGGAGAGAAAAGCCAGAGGTGAGCCTTTCAGAGGGGGCAGAGGGAGGGAGCAAGGGCCCCAGACACTTGGGGAGCCTGTACTGAGGGGAGCTGTTAGGAGAATGTCACTTTACAGTGCGTATTCACATATGGGGGTCGCCCGAGTCCTCAAAGCAAGCCAGCAAGGTAGTGCTAGCACCCCTTTTCCAGGAGGCTGAGAGAAGTGGGATGATTGCATTTATCTGCCTCCCTCCCCCGCTCCCCCTTGTCCAGTGAAGGCTCGGGCTTCTTTTTGCTCCTGTTGACCGGTCCCCTCCCCAGGGAGCCCTCCCTGCACCCTGTCGCTCTGTGAGGTCCACCGTCCTAACGCTTCTTCCAGCAGGTCGACCTCTGTCTCCCCAACAACCCATTAGCTCCACTGGGGCAAGGCTTGGCACAGGGCACCGGGCAGCTCCCCCACAATTAGTGGCCTACGAAATGAATACGTTCCGCATTTATTGCATCAGTATCGGTTCATCAATTGTGACAAAGGTACCCCCACATGAATGTAAAATGTTAATGGAGGAACTGGATGTGGGGTACATGGGGACTCTCTGTACTATCTACAACCATAGTGTACATCAAAAACTAATCTACAATCGGCCTCCCTGCAGTCTGGGAGCTACTGGGGCACCGGGACCTTTTGTACCACAAACCCAGCATGGGCCCCGGCCCAGAAAAGGTGCCAGTAGTGATGAATGACTGAACAATGAATACAGCAACTGGCCGAACTTCTTCCTTAACCACAGCACTCTGGGTAACCAAAGCCCTTGGCACTCGATGTCCTAGGCGATGGCGGAGAGTTCAGGAGCAGGCCCACAGGCAAGAGCACTGTGCGCAGTCCCTACAGCCTGGCCTGAGCTGGGGGCCTGGTATGACCCTTGGGTCCCAGCAAAGCTCTGCAGAGACAAAGCCCAACACAGTGTAATGAAGACTTTCTAACCAGTACAGCTCACTGTGAGGTAGTGAGCGCCTCGTCTCTGGAGGTATGTGAGCAGAGACTGAATGACCCAAGATTCTGGCTCAGGCTTTGCCAAGGTACCTTAGCTAGGGAACCCCCCCCCCCCCCCCCGCACCATCCAGGAACCCATGGCCCACAGAGAATGTTTCAAGTCCAAAAGGCATTCACTGATTAAGTCTAATCCCGCCCATCTGCAGAAAAAGAAACTGAGGCCCAAAAAAAATGTCTGACTTCCCCAAAGTCACATCGCACCCCATGGGGTTGCCTGGGCAAAATCCAACTCCAGAATTGAAGCAACTTCCTTGGCTCCACACTGGCTGAGGGCACCCACCCCACGGCAGCAAGCAGCAAGCCAGCTCCCAGCCCAGCGCTGTCCAGAGACCCTGCAGACGGGTCACTGCTTCCCGGGGGCTTCCCCCACTCCACCTGCCAAGGCTGGCAGGTTCCAGGCAGGAGAGGCAGGGGAGGGGTCCCCAGGCCTTGGTGGGAGCCCAGAAGGACCTAGAGGCAGGTGGGGCCACTCACCGAATGGTGTGCTCAAAATAGATGTCATCCATGGAGGCCGTGACGCAGGGACAGCCAGCATGCCTCTCCGCTGGCACCGGGAGGAGAAAGCCGTGCGTTAGCCGCCTCCCACGTTACGCAGGCCTCTGATCGAATGTCAGGCCTCCGAGCTAAGGCCCTGCCTCCTCACCCACAGCCTTCTTTACTTTTCCTCAAGGTTGCCGCGCCCTGCTTCGTATATCGGAATTTTGTCTGTCTAGTATCTCTCCCTTCTGTTCAACTGCAAGTTACTTGAGGGCAAGGATTTTTGCCTGCCTAGCTCATAGGCCTATCCCAGTCCCAGAAGAGGGTCTGGCACACAGTAGACACTCAACAAGCAGCTATTGAATAAATGAATGGTCACGCCATGCTGTGCTAGCTCCGGGCCTTGTAAAGTGCCCTCAGGTCTGCCCAGTCTGCTTCATGCATCTTTGTTTGTTTGCTGAGTCATTCTCTCCTCCAGGACCCTGCTCACTGCCTTAGTCCCTCTAGAGTCCCTTCTCTGTCCCCAGGGCTGGGTCACGGCCTCTGGTCTGTTCTCCCTCCCTTTCCCAGTCCCCACAAAACAGTGCTGGGGCAGTTGGGTCACCTGTCCTCCCCCCAACCCCCATCAGACTGTGAGCTCCCCATGGGTTGGAGAATACTGGGACATCAAAGGAATGACGTGACGTCAACTCAACTCCTCAACTTAATGTAGGGAGCCCTTGAAGGCAGACAGCATGGTGCTTGCTCACAGCACTCCTGAGCCAGCCCTGGAGCAGCCGCGTGGAAGGCAGCGCTGTGTTGGAGCAGGGACCTAAGGGCACTCAGAACTGGGTCCTCTGGGGAGAGGGTGGGCCAGAGCTGAGCATCAGGAAACTGGAGGGCATTGCAGGCAGGCGGCTGGGATGAGGGACGAGTGTGGCACTCAGGGAGACAGCGACGTCTCAGCATAACTGAGGCCTCTCCCCGGGGGTGAGCCAGGGGGTGGGAGGATGGCAGTCTCACCAGACAGGCAGGCCGTGGTGTCAATCCACTTGAGCAGCTGCCCGACGCTCAGCTCGCCACGCTGATTGGTGTGGCAGGGCAGCACCAGCTGGCTCATCTGCACCTCTGTGGGGTTCCGGTACTCCTCGCCATCTGCCATGGTTTTCTCTGTGCGGGAGGTTGACTTCCGGGACTGACGGCCCGAGAACACGGAGGCGAAGCCCTGGGGAACAGGTGGGACCAGGGAGGTCAGCTCACTGCAGGGTCCCCTGAGTCCTCCCACCCCTGAGACCTGAGGGCTGGAGGGAGAGGAGAGAGCGCCCCAGGGCCACCTCCCTCCAGACCCCAACTCCAAGAGTGGTCACCGCCCTCCAGCCCAGAGCTCAGACCCAGGATGTCACTGGGACTCAGGTTCCTTTCGGCCAATATCTCCATGTTAACATGACCTGGGACCCGAGGGCCGGGGAGGGGAGAGAGGAATCGTGCAGAGAACTCAGTCCTCCGAGCTTCAGCTTGTGGGTCCGCTTTTTAAAGTTTTGCTTCTGATTGACCTTCATGCCCGAAAGATGTCCCCTCTCTGTGCAGAGGCCCCGAGAGCCCCTCGCAGGCAAGCCTGGGGATTTGTTCCCAATGAAGTGTTTCAAGAAGCAGGTCCTATTTCATCCCCCAAAGGCCCCTTCCCGGGGCTTCTTGCTCTGCAGTTGACACCTCTGCTGGGTGCTCATTTGTCTTTAGCACTTAGCTCTCCTGGCCAGGAGGGCTCTGGGCAGTGCCTGAGCAGCTGTGTGATCCAGGCAGCTGCCAGCTGGAGAACCAGCTGAGAAATCCTCAAACTCATGAATTAGAGGTGGAGTTTCTGCCCAGGGCCCAGCTTTTCTTAGTCCCCGGGCAGAAGAGGTGGTGAGGCAGTCCCTTGGATGGGGTGGGACGGAGGAGGTGGAGTCGACCTGCCATCCCTTCTCTCCCTAATCGGACTGTGAGCAAGAGCCGGGGACACCTGCATGTGTGAGAAAACTGACAGGAGGGGCAGGAGGAGTTCCAGTTCTCATGGCCAATGCCAACTGCGGGATAACAGTTGACGCCAACATGTACATAGCACTTATTAGACATCAAGCACGCTTCTAAGCACGTTCCCTGTGCTAATTAAATTGTACCCGCACAACAAACCTCTGAGGTAGGTTCAAGATTATCCTCACTTCACAGTTGGGGAAACTGAGGCCCAAGTAAGTGGCAAAGCTTAGCTGTGACCCCAGAGGTCTGGCTGCAGCCTGAGGCCCCACCCATCACACTGCACTGCCTGCAGGGACTCCTGGGCCCAGATGAGAAGGAAGCCAGAGCTCTGGGCCTGGATTCAGCAGCAAAGAGTGACACGACCCGATGCTGACCCTGCCACTGCTCAGATGGGGGCAGCGACATCTCAGGGCAGCGATGGCCCTCCTGCGGTGGGAGGGGTACTCCTTGGAGAGTTCCCCCCATGAGGCTCTGTAGCTAATTCACTACATTCAAAATACACCGATGTGACTGATTCAAGGTCGCTGACTCGTAAATGGAACATCTGGGATTTGAACAGGGCCTGTCTAAACCAAAACAGCTTGTAGGTCCCCAGAGCGGCCCTGGGTACCACATACAGTGCTGGGCACCGAGGGGAGAGAGAGGAGGGCAGCCGATCCAGGAGCTCTCAGTGCGGGAAGAAGCCTTCGAGGTGCCAGGCTGCCAGGCTTGCAGAATCTTGCAGGCATCTCACAGGCCTTGTGGTCTAAGCAGGGCTATCACCATGGTAACCACTGCCAAGGCATTTCCAGCCTAGTGTGCACTGGGGGCCTGCATGGATGTGGATGCGGGTGGCTGCCTTTCCGGGTGTGGGAGACGGGAGAGGGAGGAAGCAGGCAGACTGTTCACCTACTCTTCCCAACCCCCTCCCTCAGCCAGGGGTCCTGGCCAGAACATTCCAGCAAGAAGCCTGGAGAAAGCTAGGGAAATGGAGGGGGGGAGGGGGGCAAGATGCACAGGGTAAGCGGGAAGAAAGGGGCAGACGCGTGGGTTTCTGAGCGGTTCTGGGCATGCACACACAATGTCCCAGCTTCACAAGCCTATTCTCACACCCACCGAGGAAGGCAGACCCCATTTTTACAGCTGAGGAAAGTGAGGACGGGAAAAGACCTAGACCAGGACACCTGAGTTCTAATCTTCTCTCTGCTTCTCACCTGGTCAATCCCCACCCCCACCAGCCTCCTATTTCCTGTTCTATATAAAGGAGTCCCTACCTTCCCAATGGACTCTCCAGGCCTGAAGGCAGGATCTTTGCCCCATTCATTCATTCATTCATTCATTCACCGAGCATCTCCTTTCTCTGCACTAGGCCCTAGGCCAAACACTGAGAATGCAAAGGTAAGTGGGGCCAATCCCTTTGAGAAGCTCTGCTCTAGTGCTCATGTCTAGAAGGGCCTGGCGCGCAGTAGGGCCTCATCAAAGGTTTGTGGAGGGACAAGCAGAGACAGACTGGAGTTTAAATATATATATTTCAGAGAGGAAAGGAGAGGGAGACAAAGATAGAAACATCAATGAGAGAATCATTGATCGGCTGTCTCTTGCACACCCCCTACTGGGGATTGAGCCCACAACCTAGGCATGTGCCCTTGACCGGAATCGAACTTGGGGCTCCTCAGTCCACAGGCCAAGGCTTTATCCACTGAGCCAAACCAGCTAGGGATGGACTTGAGTTTAAATCCTAGCCCTGTCCCTCAGGTGCTATGTGATCCTGAGCAAGCTCCCCTCCTCCTGAACCTCATCTCTTACTCACAAGGTGGGCAGGGGCAGTGGGAGATTGCCAACCCCAAGGTATCCCCAGCCCTGGTTCCAGGATTCTGGGGTTTAACCCTGCAGGGCTCTGGCGTGCTGAGCTGAGATTTCCAGTGAGGAAGCTAAGCAGCCCTGTGACCTGTCAGACAGGAAATACTGAGCTCCTCCCAGCAGGGCTGAGCTCCCACCTCCCACCCCTGCAGGCTGTGGGACAAGCCTCACTATGGCTACCTCCCCACGCCCCTCAGAGAGAGGCGGGCAGAGCCCTGGTCCGTGGCACCAGCACAGGGGACAGAGCAGCAGTGGCCCAGGACACGGCCTCTCTAGACGCCAACTCCTTCCTTGGCTCCAAGACAGCCTGCCCACGTCAGGCCCGGCCAGGCCTCCTCTTGTCCCAGGGTGGGCTGGCAGCCAGCCAGGGCGCAGGAGGCTTGGCCAATGGGGCTCTAGAGCTGGGACACTCCTCCCAGGGCCAGTCACAGAGAGCACAGAGGCCCTGGATGGAGCAGGTCCTGGGGCGGCCAGGCTGGCTGAGCCAAGACAGCTGACAGGGAGGGCAGAGCCCACTCCACAGATGGGGTCATGGGGTCAGAGACGTGCCCTCTCAGAAGGCAGCCGTGCCAGGCCCTGGCCCCATGCCACAGCAGGACCGGCCAGGTTTGATACTGCCAGACTAGGCCTCAGCTGGCTACACCAGGGTTCTGTGTCCCTCCTCCTGGGCCATCCATGTCACAGACCTGCTGGTCAGAGCAGGAGAGGCCACCTCGTCCAATCCCTTCATTGATGGGGACACTGAGGCACAGGGAAAGAAAGGCTGGTCCGGGGTCACACGGCTGGGGAGCCAGCAAGAGCCCTCCTGGGATGCGCAGGGACTCCTTCAAGGCAGTTCGACCACAGCCCCACGCTCACACACCTGACCTGGATTTCCTCCCTCCCCACTGAGCCAAGTAACGGGGATCCAACCCCTGATGCTCTCAGCCTACCCCACCACCCTCGGGCTTGGGGCCCTGCACTGGGGCTTGCTGGATGTTTCCAGAGCCTGTTCACAGGCCTCCCGTCTCCACCTCCTTCTGGCCTCCAGCACCTGCCCTCCCAGAGCAACCACAGGAGGTTCCTCAGAGCACCACCCTCATCCTCCTCCATCCTCTGCCACATGCGGGCTGCTTCTGCCTAGGTTCCCTCTATCTGCCCTATCTCCCAGGTGAGTCCTTCCTCCTCCTTCTTCAAGTTCCCCCATCCCTGCCTCTTCCCCAGGGAGTTAGGTCCTCCCAGCCCCCACAGCCTCGCCTGTCTCCATCACAGTGAAGCTGTGCAGTCACTGTATTCCTAGACGCTTCTCCCGCCAGACAGTCATTCCCGCCAGACAGGGACAGATTCAGCCTCACAGAGCAGGTGCCGAATAAACACCTATGGAAGAGGCTGGTGACAGGGGCTGAGACTTGAAGACAGGAAGGTCGAAGGTGCAGAGAGGACGTGCAGACAGCACAAAGACCAAGCAGGAACAGTGGTGCCTCGGGTGATGGGAACTGCGTGGCAAAGGAAAGCCTGAGGTCAAGTACTAGGTACTTGTGTGGGTAGAGACAGAGGGGAAGGGGCCAGGGAGTCTCTACAGCGACTGCCCAGAAAAGGCGACAGCCAGCAGAGAGCTCTTAGTGCTGCAGGGACAGCAGAGGAGAGAGCTTGGTGCTGCAGGAACCACCAGGAACAGGAGCCCAGGGCAGGGGAAGCCTTGAAGCTGACCTGGCCAGGGTTCAAATCTGGTTCCGCAAGGAACTTGTATGGCCTTAGGGCAAGCTGCTCTGTGGGCCTTACTTTCATCTGTGAAAAATGGGGTAATAGTGCCTACCTCCAGGGGTCATCCTAAGGATGAAACTAAATGAGATCAGGGGTTTAAAGTTCCTCGGACATGTCGGCCATATGGCTAACATTTGTTGAACATGGACTGTCAGTATTTAAAGCTGAGGTCGGACTTCCTACAGAAACATAGCTGGGAAAGGCCCAAATATAATCCACACTGGACTTTGCGCAGCCTTTTCTCACCTCTGGGCTGACCAGAACTTCATGGGGCAAGACTGTTAATGGGCAAGATTAGTAGCCCGTCTGTGAGGTTCTGTGAGCATTCAAACAGCCATTGATGGTGGAGCCTGGACTCAAGCCCAGGGTGTGAGACTGAGAGCCCCTGTTCCTCCCACTCTCCCTCCCTCCCGCTAGAGGCATGGGACTAAAATGCAGGTTTGAGGGGGCAGCGAGAAGCAGCCTTTGACCAGCGCCCTCAGAGCAGGGGGCCAACCCCATGAAAGGCCTGGCTGTCTGAGTGAGACCACTCTGAGCTGTCTGAGGGAGCTGCCCCATCCCCAAGGGGTGGCTCCGCCTCTCAGAGACCAGGATGGCCTCCTGGTGGATTCCCCCCAGCAAGGCAGGCAC